GGATGCCGGATATAACCGGCGCTAGCCAGTGTGAAGCATTTAGCGGATGCCGGATATAACCGGCGCTGGACAGTGTGAAGCATTTAGTGGATGCCGGATATAACCGGCGCTAGTCGCGAAAGGGTTAATATTCTGCTTTCCTTACTTTTATGTCTACTAATACCCTTAGCGCATGTCCCTTTTCCATTCTGAGATACTTTTGACAACTCTAACATATTTCTTGCGTAATGTATGGCCATTTCGAATGTATCCTGCGTCATAATGTATGCTTTGATGGAAAGCGCATTTTATGCTACACTTTACAGTTGTTTCACTGTAACTGAAGTTAAAGAATTGTTAAATCTTTTAATGATTCTGTTTGCTGCAATAACCGGTGAACATAGAAGATCGTGTTGAATTTTAAGTGCTCCACTCTTAGTGGTATAAGTCCAATTTTGAAAAGAACGAGTTAAGGCTAGTTTCAGCCAAACATGGATGTCTTCTTTTCATATTTGTAATAACAAAATCAATACACTACAATATCCTCATGAACTCACCAAAAGAAGTTTAACTGTTAAATGTTATTGCACAAATATGCTTTCCATTTATAGCTGAAAAGCCTTGGTTTTCTCTAGCAATATTAATAATTATTATCACATAATAAAATTTAACATGTTTACAATTGTAGAAACAGAATACTGTTTAATTCGTTCAATTTCAAACCCTTAAATATCTCAATATAAGAATAAATGGACTTATACCACTGGAAAAAAAGTGGCTCATCTGATAAATACGTTTCTGATAATAATTCTTTTAAGATTGTAGAAAATTTAGCATACCTTCATAAAACTGTACAATTTCTTCTTTAATTGCAAATCTACTCTGAAACACAAAGTACATCTGCTGCAGTCTATTGTGAGTAATGCGAAAAAATATTCTCGCGTAGACTAGATAGAAGCGAATATGTAAAGGTATTCGAACGAACAGGATGTTCGATTTACACGAACACGGGTGCTCGAGTTCAGGGCTGGCCATTAGAAACGTAAATAGGATTGACTCCGAATTGTTTATGATTTCAGCATTCCCGTTCGCTGCTGGTATTCGAGCTGGGTACCCCGCAGTTCTTCCTGGCCAATATGGGTAAGTCCACGTTGATGTGATTTGTCGAGTAATATTAAAAACATAGATGTTGCAATTGTAGTTATTAAAAAAAAAAAAAAAAAATAGCGTGAGTCAAGGGAAGTCCTCGCAAGCATATACCCGTAATAGAGATTGAATTTTCAATTTACAATAAAATGCGATTATTACCAAAACGAGAAATCAATGAGATCCAATGATTGTTCAGTTTTGAGTATTCAGTCCATTCAGTATATTTTTTCACGGCACTTTGGTGATATTTTTCAAACGATTTTTTAACAGCGTGCAATAATTACAATTGTACTTTGATACAAAAATTAGGGAGAAAGGTATATATATATACATTCCAAAGAATTTTTCTCCGATTTTTTGCACAACCTTTGTTTGCCATGTTATGAGAGAGAAAAAAAAAAGGGGGACAATTTTAGGGAACCGAAAAACCGCAAGAAGTCGATAGAAAAAAAAAAGAAAAAAGTACATACTTGAGAGTCGTGAATGAAGGTACTCGCTTGACGGTTTCGGTTTTGATAATGTTGTGAATATTTTTTTAAAGGCAGACTATATATAACGTTTCAGCATCCTGACGCGTGCGCGTAAGGGAGCAAGCAGCGAATTCCCTTTTCGAGATCCTTGAGAGCGCCATGGGCTGTTCTAAGGAGAGCAAATAAAAAAAAAAAAAAACATGTAAAGAGAGATGAATGGAAAGAGTCAGACACGAAACGAAAAAATGTGAAAAAATGAGACAGAAAGGAGGGGCAGAGATATTTACAATCGATGAAAAAGAGAGGGAGGGAGAAAGAAAGAACGCGGCACACGCACACGTATCAGAAGCCATGAGTACCCACGAATTTATTTCTGCAAAATCAAAGACTTCCGAGGATCGGCCTCTTCTTCTACTACTGTACTTTTTTGGTTGTGTTTTTTGTTTCTTCTTTCTTGATGAGGTTGACGTGAAGTGATATGATGATTGCGGTTGCTGAGAGATTTGTTTGTTACTGATTTTGACTTTTTTGGTCTTTTACTCTTTTACACTCTTTTTCTTAATCAACATAATCATAATAATTGTAATAATATTAATATTAATATTAATTATAGTAACGGTAACGTAACGTGTAAGTACGGTCTTACATTAATAGAGATTGTCTAATTCGTGACGGTGTTGCTTGTTATTTCAACGAACGGGGTAACGATAACAAAGCAACGTAACAAGTTTTCCGTTGAAATTCAAAATTCCGCAGTACGCACACACGCGCCACTTGTCATTTACATATGTTCCAAAGTCGGCTGTCGATTTGTCAGCAAGTATCAAAATGCGTTTCACTTGGTTTATATAGATTTGTTTTTTTTTTATTGCACTTCTTATGGATTCTTTTTCACATTATTTTACTTTCCGTGTCGAGTGTGTTTCGTCAAGTATTTGGTTTTCTTTCTAAATTTGAATTCGTTTTCGTGCGCACTGTTTTCAGTTTTCCTTTTCTTTTTTTTTTTTTGTTCACTGTGGTTTTGCTTTTGGTGGCGGGTCTTCGTCAGTTTTCAAATACCGGAATTTAGACTAGACACAATCGCGACAGCGTGTTTTATTAATTTCGTTCGTATTGGAAAGTTTCACACGAGAATAATACAAGCGACGATTGTAAATATTTATTCTTTTGAACTGGAACTAGCGTGGAATATCATTACTATTTCGTGAAGTTGTGGGGCAGACCTTTTAGGAATTGCGGTTTATCGAATGGTGTGTATTTGTTGGAAAATGGTCGTGCAAAACGCTCGCCTTGTCAATCATTTTCCTGATTAGTGAAAAAGAAGCGACAAAAGAGGGAGGGGGGGATGTAGTGAAATAACGAGTAGAGATTAACCATTTGCGGTAGAATTTCGTTGAACTGTGAACGATATGACCGATTCTTCGAAGCGGTCGATCTCCCGTATTTTTCGCCGGAAATCGACCCGCACTGCCGCGAAACACGACAACGTTCATTAATTTTTCATCGTGCCATCGATTTTATCGTACTTTGCCTCATTTGGCCTAGTCAGATTCTTCGGTGCAGCATAGCAATTCGTGAAGATATCGAACGGTATTGGAAAGCATAATCGTGCAAAGAAAAGCGCTAAAAAGAATCGGAAATGTATCGACCCCTCTATTTCTATTTTTTTTTTTCTTCTTTTTTTCTCTTTACTAACAAAACTGTTTCTCGTAACGTTTCTCAGTATCATTATCTTTCCGTCTCTTAGCCGCGTGCATATCGACGTGTTTGAACATCTTAATTTTAAGAGGAGAGAATATCTACTAACGCATTTACCATTTGATGTACGAATTTTGTTTAGATGAAACGGAGATTCGCCGAGTGTACAAGCTCCGCTAACCACTATAATAATAATAACCTTGTGTGTGTGGTGAAGGCTTACACTACACTTGGTGTCGCTATTGGTGTTGTATTTTTTGGTGTTGTACGTGATGGTTTTTGAACATTATTGTAACACGGTGTACTGCCTGTCGTTAGAAAATTAAAGAAAATCTGAACTTGGAAATGTCATTTCTTATAGATCACTTGTATAGCAATATAAATGTTTAGAATAACGTTTCTTTCGAGACGAACTCTCCGAGAAAGTGAAGACAGATACGCCCCGACTTCTCTCGTCTTACGGAAAAATTAATCACATTTCCTTGGGTTCTGGAAGAAAAGAATGGCAGTACGTACATACGCGTATATCATCTGGCAAAGTCCGAAGAAATGTATACCGTGTTGAACATCGACAGACAAAATACACGGAAATTTTAAATTAATTACTGCAATTACCAACAATTGGAACAATTTTACTCTGTTCGTGATAAAAATGCATTTTCGCAACCTTCACACTTGCTGGAAAAACACTGTATCTTTGCACTCGACCGTGCCCCGCGTTTCTAAACGTGCAACTTTCATTGAACGAATAAAGATATTTCTTGATACATTATTTAAGTAAGGTGAACGTAAAGACCAGAATATTCGGAATTCAGCAGAGATTTTTTTTTATAATTCTTCATCTTAATGTCAGTTTCAAATGCTTGCTTTCCCGTTGGGCATGCGAGTAAATTCAATAATCTTTAGCTCCACTTTTCTTTATTATTCTGTTCCATAATTTCCGCAAAATACGAATACTTTTTTATTCTGGTAAAGACTTGCTTGAAAAGAAAAAGGCACGAGAAGAAATACTTCATATTACATATTTTTCAATATGTTTTTTTTTTTAATATCACAGTTATATTTGAAATTCTGCAGGATAAAATCTTCGAAAGAAGTCACTTGCGATGTTTCGTTAAGTAAGAATGTAAATATAGATATGGATTTTTAGTGTGAAAACAGACTGGTAAGAGTATCGTTTACTCCAAGCGTATAATCATAGGTCCATATTGCGAAGCACATGTCCTAGAATTAGCGAAACGTAGGTTGAAAAGTGAAATCCAACACCGGTAGGGAGACGTTTTGTACGTCAGAGAGGGTTTTCTCAGTGCTAGTAAATTCGTGGTGTCGTAAGCTATCAGAAACGACCGACCGGCGTCGACGACGATGACGATGACGACGACGACATGCCTTGCCTTGCCTCGCATCTCAGTTCGGCCATCTTGGAGATTCTGGCGTTGGTCCAATCTTTATTTAGATCCACCTGTCCCCCGTGTCAGCTTCTATGTTTGAACCATTCCCTCGAGAATCCCTACGAGAGAACTTGTAACGTGAATTAAAACCGTTCCTTCTCTTCTCACCGAACTTACAACGAGCACTCTCCTAACGCAAAATTTCCACTGATTTCAACCGATACTATTACTTGCTTTCCTTCGTCCTAGCGAATTATTTCCCTTTGATCGGCTCCTTTGAAGATCTTCGTTACTACCGAACGGGGCACAATCGTTGCCAGAACCATTGGAAATTTAGCGTTCAAGACACTTCTGCGAAGAGTTTCGTTGGTTCGTGCGAAGTCGGGCTAGACGAACTATTAAAACGTTGGATAATATCGAAGATGTGTTTTTCAAATTTACATTTCAAACGAAACGGATTTCGTTTGATATTCGAATTCTTTGCTACTTTTCGCTTCAATATCGAGAATGTCAGTAGGTACTGTGCTTTTCTGTTAATCGGTACGTATTATTGAAATGTAATCGAGGAAACGAACAATTAACAGACCGTAATTCACGGAATCTTCAACTGATTACGTTAAATGTAAAATTTTTGCTTCAGTTTTCAGTTCGATATTTCTCATGCTTATACCGACTACGAAAATGAAATATAAATGTGAAATTAGACGTGTGGTGTTAATATCTTTATCATAGGTATTCATGAGCTTGTCGCAGTTGAAGTATTATCGTTGAAAAGGAAATTGATAGCCGGCGGTTCGTGCAGAATGTCTGTTTCTATTTTCATTGTCGATACTTTTCTTCGCCTGTCGCTGTCATTCGTTCCGCGAGAACAATAGCGTTTTACGGAAGACAAATACCGTATAGGCTTCTGATATTTAGTACTTTTTCGTAGCCGCGGTATTCGGTATTCGAAGTCAATGTAAAACGAGCTGTCCTGAACATCGCGTTTTAAGCTGCATTCAGCGAAACCGTAATTTTTCGCTTGCTGGACACACGGTGTGCAGGCTTCGGTATCTCGGAAACTACGGCGAGTAATCATTTTTTCCGAGATGTTCGCGACGCCGTTTCTTCTTTTGCGCAATTGACAATCTTCCACTGTTCTCGTGTTTCCATTTTCTCCTGTACAAAATGACGGCTTCTCCGTCTATTTGCTCACTCTGCGTTAACGTTCTATGTATCTATTTTCATTCTTTGGGTCTCTACATTCTCCCATTCGAAATAGTTCTGGCGAGGTACTTGGAAAAAGAGGTGAGCAAGAACGTGTTAGGAAAGAAACAATTAAGTTGTCGAGGTACCACCCTCGAAGACACCATTGGTCTGTTCTGCTTTCCAAGGATTGGCAGATCATCCCATTGGATTATCCACGGCGCCGGCGCTCGCACAGCCTGTGCAC